GCGGTCTCCGCGCGCGTCGTGGCTCCTCGTGGGTGAGCCGCTGGCGTCCCAGAGCGCAGGTGCGGGCGAGGGCAGCGCAGACCCCGGGCCGGAGGCCGGAGAATCCGCGGGGAAGAGCGTGGGCCCTGGGCGTGGGGCGTCTGCGGGGAGAAGGTGCGAGGTAAGGGAAGGGGGAGTGCCCGAAGGCCAGGCCGCCCTGGGCGGAGGCGGGAGCCGTCCACGGAGGGGGGCCATCCACGGAGGGGGGCCGTCCACGGAGGACCCGTCCACGGAGGGGACCCGTCCATGGAGGGGATCCGTCCACGGAGGGGATCCGTCCACGGAGGAGACCTGTCCACGGAGGGGACCGTCCACGGAGAACACATCCACGGAGGAGATCCGTCCATGGAGGAGGCTCCGCGGCCAGCGCATCATGTCCAGTTTTCCCAAAGAAGAGAAAAGGAGAATCAGCTGCGGTTACCGGTGCTGGTGCGGATGGCCCCGGTCATTTCAACCCTGGGATCGCAGAACAGAGAAGTCGATGCTGGACAGGGAGGAAGGGTTCAAAAGTAGGGAGACCCAGAGTGGGGGTCGTTCCTCACTGCATTCAGGCCCACCTTTGACCCCACCCCCTGAATTTGCCAATCTGGTAACAGAAACTAACCACGGACACAGAATGGAACAGAAATTTATGCCCAGGCAAGGAGCTGCATGATTTGAGCTCTGAATTTTCATTCACTTTCTAAGAATCCAAACTTGTATTTTATACATTTGATTTGTGTGTGTGTGTGTGTGTGTGTGTGTGTGTGTGTGTGTGAGAGAGAGAGAGAGAGAGAGACTGAGACAGAGACAGAGAGACAGAGAGAGACACAGAGAGAGACAGAGAGAGAAAGTGTGTCTTGGGCTTGAACTCAGAGCCTGGGTGCTTTTGTTCAAGGCTAGAACTCTACCATCTGAGCCATGGCTCCACTTCTGACGATTGTTTGGAGCTGAGTCTCATGGACTTTCCTGCAATCCACAGATCTCAGCCCCCTGAGCAGTGAGGATTACAGGTGTGAGCCACCGATGCCTAGCTGCACCTGAATTCTTTTGGAATTAATGGTCACATCTTCCTAGTCTTACTACTTAAATTGAATCATGCTTTTTCAAAGCTGCATTATTGATTAAGTAATTTGTAATTTGCAAAATTGCAAAATGACATTGACAGGGTAAAGATGTGTTACATATAATTATATATAATATATATTATATGTTATATAATATATAATTATGTTACATATATACTTATGTAATTATACATTAATACATATATTACTAAATGTATAATATACAACACTATACAATAACATACTATATGCATACTGTATGCACTGTAATATATTAATATATTATTTGTCAATGTATATATTTCTTCTATATAATTTGAACTTTGTATTGATCAACTTGCTAAATATTTGATCATATGAAAACCTTTTCCAGTGTTAGATTATTATACTCTTTGCATTACTTTTGTAGATGACTGCACATTTGAACTATTGTAGTCCCTCATGTTTTCTGTACAAAATTAAAATCAGTAAGGACGTGTACGCTAAGACAGTGGTGCCATGAAATTTTCTGATAAAGAAGATTGATGGGTTATTAACATTTTCCAATAAGCCTAGATCCAGAGCCGCTGATGATATTGAAGGCAGTGGCTGTTGGAGGCAGGGGCCGGGATGGGGGGCAGTGTTTTGTAATTACTTCAGTGGCATTTTGGCAAATACGTGCAGAAGCTTTATTGAAATCGAAATGCTAAGTATGAATGCATTGGCATGTAGATAGCATCTTTGGACTTGCAGTCAGCTAATTCATTACAGCACAAATCAGCAAGTTGGAAGCTTCAGGTGATAAACAGCTCTGAAGGGTAGAATTGTTTTAGTTTTATTACTTTGTTAAAGTGAAACCAGACTATTGAGGAGTTCTGTCCAGATTTTAGATCTCACCTTATTTTTCACCCACCTGCAGAGAGTGCTAAGATGTGTGTGTCCAAACCTCAAGATGTCCTTCCAGAAGGCCAGGGCTCACGCCTGTCATGCTAGCTACTCAGCAGGCTGAGATCTAAGGCCAGCCTAAGAAGCAAATTCCATGAGACTCTTATTTCAAATTAGCTAGCAAAAAAAGCCAGAGATAGAGTTGTGGTTCAAGTGGTAGGGCACCAGCCTTGAGTGGAAAAATAAGTGACAGTGACCAGACCCTGAGTTCAAGGCCTAGGATTGGTACAAAAAAGGATAGAAAGAAAGAAAAAGAGAAAGAAAGAAAGGAAGGAAGGAAGGAATATTTTCTAATTTCCTGACATTTCTTAGTATTTCCTAATGCCTATGATCCATGTGTACATGTACTTTCACTGTCCATTGCTCTGGACTGTTTGTGTGAGCGCAGATGATGGCATTGGGAGATGGAGGGAGATAATGAGGTCCTGAGAACAGGGGGCTATTGACAAAGGCCTTGAATCTGTGCTTGTACCAGGAGAATCCTGGGAGAGATCATCTCTCCTTTTGCTCTGTGGTGATAAGCAAGAAGGCGTCCCTCTGCGGCCAACCATCTGCCCCAGCCCTCCCTAGGAACCAAGCCTGTCAGCACTTAACCTTAAACTCCCTGAACAACAGAGCTGTGGGCAAGAAGTGTCTATTGTTTAACTCATGTATTAGGCCTGGTTGTTTGTTAGGATGCATCGAGCTTATGGAGATACCCACAGAAGGCTCTGGGATTAGGAAGCTGGAAAACCTCTAGGGCTATCTGTGATTTGATCTGGTGACTTTGCACCATGGGAAATGCATTGGAATCCAGGTTCTTCTGCTGGGATCCTGATGCTGGTACCATGACAAAGAAGGAGAAAATCTGAAGCAAGAAGCCCAGCGATGGATGTCTTCATTCTGTTCCCAGGCCAGCGGCCATTACTCAGGGATTAAAACTGTCCTCTGTACTGTGTCAGCAGTCAATTTCTAGCCTTCTTCTGTGGCATCTTAATGTTAAGCCTTCAGAGCCACAACAAACCTCACCAAGGGATTTCCCTGACAGAGCAATTAACTATTTAAATGTAGGGTTGTTGGATAAAACACAGACTTGACATGCATCATGGTTAAAAATTATATTTTAAATGGAATTCAAATTTAGTGGAACATCATGTTTTTTAAATTTAATGTAATTTGTTGCAGAACCTAGCAGTTCTATTTAAATGTGATTTCAGAAAATGTTTCTTCTTCCTTCTCCTTCTCCTCTTCTCCTCCTCCTCTTCCTCCTCCTCCTCTTCCTGTTCAATATCAAAATTACTAAGGCAATATAGTCAATCCTTTGGGGGAAAAACCCACTTTTATTTGTGCAGTTATTGGGGCTTGAACTCAAGGCCTTGTGCTCTTGTTTAGCATTTTCTGCTCAAGGCTTGAGCTCTACCACTTGAGTCACACCTCCAGTGTGATCCTCATATCTCTGCTTCCTGAGTATATAGGATTGCAAGTACGAGCCAACAGCACCCACATAAAGTAGTTTTTTTTTTTTTTTTGGTCGGGCGTGGGGCTTGACCTCTGGGCCTGGGCACTGTCCCTCAGCTCTTCAGCTCAAGGCAAGTGCTCTACCACTTGAGCTACAGCGCCACTTCCGGTTTTCTGGTGGTTTATTGGAGATAGGAGTCTCACGGTCTCTCCTGCCCGGGCTGGCTTTGAATTGCGATCCTCAGATCTCAGCCTCCTGAGTAGCTAGGATTACAGGCGTGAGCCACCGGCACCCGGCCACATAAAGTAGTTTTTAAGCACAGATTTTCAAAGCATTTCTCCAAGGTAGTCTTTCTTGGTGACTATTTACCCAAAATAAGGGTGTAATCCAAGAAATCAGAAGAGACTCTAAATAAAGTAGGGAAAATTCTAGGAAGATGGTGAGTGGATTTCTTATGGAGATAGATAACTCAGGTATAAGAGTCAACTAAGGCTAAGTTTATCTCAAGAGATAAGAATAGGTCATTTATCTAATAGAACACAAGGCCACACTAAAGCAATCCATGTCATGACAGCATTGTTTACCATAGCCAACATGGGGATTCAACCCAGATGCCCCTCAGTTGATGAATGGATCAAGAAAAGGTGGTGTATATACACAATGGAATTCCACTCATCGATAGGAATGAATGATATTGTATCATTTTTAAGGAAATGGGAATACTTGGAAAAAATTACCTGAAGTAAATCAGACCTAGAGAAACATAGGTTGCATGGTCTCCCTCATCTGTGGTAACTAGAATGTGCCTATAAATCTACAAGTAAGCACACTGGATGGTAAGAGAAAAAAAATACCCTGGGTCATGATAAATTATACAGGTCTCTAAGCATTCACATAGTGAGACCAAGGGAGGATATTCTTAGGAGAGGATCACAGTGGCTCAATAACTATGTGCATATGACCATATAAAATAGTATTTATCAAAATGAGCACTAAGAGATGGAGTTTTTTTCTTTGCTGCTGTTTTTGTTTTTATTTCCCTTTGTCTTGTTCGTTCATTTATCTGTCTTTAGGAAGGTAAGGGGAAGCCCAGAAATGGTGGAACGAAGGGTGAACAAATGTAGCAGACCCTCACTCGACAGTGTGTTGAAAATGAACTATACAATTCATGGGAGCAGGCCAGAAAAAGTGGGAGAGTGAGGGAAGGGCTGACACTGTTCAAAAAGAATGCTACTCATTACCTGACTTATGTACCTGTAAGCCCTCAGCACATCACCTTTACAATAACAATAAATTAATTTTAAAAAGAGACAAGGATATAAAATGCTTGTGTTATCAGGTCCTCTGACACTGTGCTAATGTTTTAAATTTTTTCTTATAATTTTATTAAGCTATAACTAGAGAAAGCAAAAATCATGTGCCAAATATTTTAACATATGAAATGACTGAAGGATACAGTAAACAGTATAAGAGGAAGCCAGGGACAGAGTTGTTAGAGAAAACAACCCAGAAGAAAGGCAAGGGAATTTTAGGGATGATGGTGAAGAGAAAAGTTTGGGAGAACTGTAGTCCAGAGAGAAAGAGTAAGAGGTTTGTAAAAAATGGAAATTATAAGTTACTGATGTGGAAAGACACGCTAGAAATTGCAGTGGAGAGTTTGGGTAGAATGTAGCAGTAAGTACAAAAACAAATGAACAAAATGGATGAAATTTAAAAATATTCAAAGGAAACATTAACTTTAGGAAACCAGAAAGGAAACCAAACAAGCAAGTCATCTGTGAATCTGTAATCTGAACTTGGTCAACTGCTTTAAACAAATAAGCAGCACTCAGGGTTGATTGATTAAGAAAAATTGGCTAAATTTTGATAGACATGCTGAATTTTGGGGCAATTTTGTTTTTCCTTGTTCTTATTCCCTCCTCTCTAGCTCAGTGGTAGACTAGCAAAGAAAAGCCTTCCTTAGTATTAGGCTCTCAGGGGGCAGCCTAGGCCTCTTTAGCAAAGAATTGTTTGTTTGTTTTGATCTGTCTCCTGACTGCCTGGCAGACAAAGTCAAAGACAGGCCTTTATCTCTCC